CGAGCGGAGCACAAAGTCAGCAATTGTGCCGTAAAATTAAGAGTTAAGGCTGCTCTTTCACACTATTTGAAAGCTTTTTTTCTAGATTTTGAAGTAGTACGAGCTATTCTTTGACTGAGATCTCAACATTTCAATAATACCATGTTTGGTGCTAAATACGAGCGGAGCAATAAGTCAGCAATTGTGCCGTAAAATTAAGAGTTATGGCTGCTCTTTCACACTATTTGAAAGCTTTTTTTCTAGATTTTGAAGCAGTACGAGCTATTCTTTGACTGAGATCTCAACATTTCAATAATACCATGTTTGGTGCTAAATACGAGCGGAGCACAAAGTCAGCAATTGTGCCGTAAAATTAAGAGTTATGGCTGCTCTTTCACACTATTTTAAAGCTTTTTTTCTAGATTTTGAAGCGGTTCGAGCTATACTTTGACTGAGATCTCAACATTTCAATAATACCATGTTTGGTGCTAAATACGAGCGGAGCACAAAGTCAGCAATTGTGCCGTAAAATTAAGAGTTAAGGCTGCTCTTTCACACTATTTTAAAGCTTTTTTTCTAGATTTTGAAGCAGTACGAGCTATACTTTGACTGAGATCTCAACATTTCAATAATACCATGTTTGGTGCTAAATACGAGCGGTGCACAAAGTCAGCAATTGTGCCGTAAAATTAAGAGTTATAGCTGCTCTTTCACACTATTTGAAAGCTTTTTTTCTAGATTTTGAAGCAGTACGAGCTATACTTTGACTGAGATCTCAACATTTCAATATTACCATGTTTGGTGCTAAATACGAGCGGAGCACAAAGTCAGCAATTGTGCCGTAAAATTAAGAGTTATGGCTGCTCTTTCACACTATTTGAAAGCTTTTTTTCTAGATTTTGAAGCAGTTCGAGCTATACTTTGACTGAGATCTCAACATTTCAATAATACCATGTTTGGTGCTAAATACGAGCGGAGCACAAAGTCAGCAATTGTGCCGTAAAATTAAGAGTTATGGCTGCTCTTTCACACTATTTGAAAGCTTTTTTTCTAGATTTTGAAGCAGTACGAGCTATTCTTTGACTGAGATCTCAACATTTCAATAATACCATGTTTGGTGCTAAATACGAGCGGAGCACAAAGTCAGCAATTGTGCCGTAAAATTAAGGGTTTTGGCTGCTCTTTCACACTATATTAAAGCTTTTTTTCTAGATTTTGAAGCAGTTCGAGCTATACTTTGACTGAGATCTCAACATTTCAATAATACCATGTTTGGTGTTAAATACGAGCGGAGCACAAAGTCAGCAATTGTGCCGTAAAATTAAGAGTTAAGGCTGCTCTTTCACACTATTTTAAAGCTTTTTTTCTAGATTTTGAAGCAGTTCGAGCTATACTATGACTGAGATCTCAACATTTCAATAATACCATGTTTGGTGCTAAATACGAGCGGAGCAAAAGACTCTGCTATTGTGCCGTAAAATTAAGAGTTATAGCTGCTCTTTCACACTATTTGAAAGCTTTTTTTCTAGATTTTGAAGCAGTACGAGCTATACTTTGACTGAGATCTCAACATTTCAATATTACCATGTTTGGTGCTAAATACGAGCGGAGCACAAAGTCAGCAATTGCGCCGTAAAATTAAGAGTTATGGCTGCTCTTTCACACTATTTTAAAGCTTTTTTTCTAGATTTTGAAGCAGTACGAGCTATACTTTGACTGAGATCTCAACATTTCAATAATACCATGTTTGGTGCTAAATACGAGCGGAGCACAAAGTCAGCAATTGTGCCGTAAAATTAAGAGTTAAGGCTGCTCTTTCACACTATTTTAAAGCTTTCTGTCTAGATTTTGAAGCAGTTCGAGCTATACTTTGACTGAGATCTCAACATTTCAATAATACCATGTTTGGTGCTAAATACGAGCGGAGCACAAAGTCAGCAATTGTGCCGTAAAATTAAGAGTTATGGCTGCTCTTTCACACTATTTGAAAGCTTTTTTTCTAGATTTTGAAGCAGTACGAGCTATTCTTTGACTGAGATCTCAACATTTCAATAATACCATGTTTGGTGCTAAATACGAGCGGAGCACAAAGTCAGCAATTGTGCCGTAAAATTAAGAGTTATGGCTGCTCTTTCACACTATTTTAAAGCTTTTTTTCTAGATTTTGAAGCGGTTCGAGCTATACTTTGACTGAGATCTCAACATTTCAATAATACCATGTTTGGTGCTAAATACGAGCGGAGCACAAAGTCAGCAATTGTGCCGTAAAATTAAGAGTTAAGGCTGCTCTTTCACACTATTTTAAAGCTTTTTTTCTAGATTTTGAAGCAGTACGAGCTATACTTTGACTGAGATCTCAACATTTCAATAATACCATGTTTGGTGCTAAATACGAGCGGAGCACAAAGTCAGCAATTGTGCCGTAAAATTAAGAGTTATAGCTGCTCTTTCACACTATTTGAAAGCTTTTTTTCTAGATTTTGAAGCAGTACGAGCTATACTTTGACTGAGATCTCAACATTTCAATATTACCATGTTTGGTGCTAAATACGAGCGGAGCACAAAGTCAGCAATTGTGCCGTAAAATTAAGAGTTATGGCTGCTCTTTCAAACTATTTGAAAGCTTTTTTTCTAGATTTTGAAGCAGTTCGAGCTATACTTTGACTGAGATCTCAACATTTCAATAATACCATGTTTGGTGCTAAATACGAGCGGAGCACAAAGTCAGCAATTGTGCCGTAAAATTAAGAGTTATGGCTGCTCTTTCACACTATTTGAAAGCTTTTTTTCTAGATTTTGAAGCAGTACGAGCTATTCTTTGACTGAGATCTCAACATTTCAATAATACCATGTTTGGTGCTAAATACGAGCGGAGCACAAAGTCAGCAATTGTGCCGTAAAATTAAGGGTTTTGGCTGCTCTTTCACACTATATTAAAGCTTTTTTTCTAGATTTTGAAGCAGTTCGAGCTATACTTTGACTGAGATCTCAACATTTCAATAATACCATGTTTGGTGTTAAATACGAGCGGAGCACAAAGTCAGCAATTGTGCCGTAAAATTAAGAGTTAAGGCTGCTCATTCACACTATTTTAAAGCTTTTTTTCTAGATTTTGAAGCAGTTCGAGCTATACTCTGACTGAGATCTCAACATTTCAATAATACCATGTTTGGTGCTAAATACGAGCGGAGCAAAAGACTCTGCTATTGTGCCGTAATATTAAGAGTTAAGGCTGCTCTTTCAAACTATTTTAAAGCTTTTTTTCTAGATTTTGAAGCAGTTCGAGCTATACTTTGACTGAGATCTCAACATTTCAATAATACCATGTTTGGTGCTAAATACGAGCGGAGCACAAAGTCAGCAATTGTGCCTTAAAATTAAGAGTTATGGCTGCTCTTTCACACTATTTGAAAGCTTTTTTTCTAGATTTTGAAGCAGTACGAGCTATTCTTTGACTGAGATCTCAACATTTCAATATTACCATGTTTGGTGCTAAATACGAGCGGAGCACAAAGTCAGCAATTGTGCCGTAAAATTAAGAGTTATGGCTGCTCTTTCACACTATTTGAAAGCTTTTTTTCTAGATTTTGAAGCAGTTCGAGCTATACTTTGACTGAGATCTCAACATTTCAATAATACCATGTTTGGTGCTAAATACGAGTGGAGCAAAAGACTCTGCTATTGTGCCGTAAAATTAAGAGTCAAGGCTGCTCTTTCACACTATTTTAAAGCTTTTTTTCTAGATTTTGAAGCAGTTCGAGCTATACTTTTACTGAGATCTCAACATTTCAATAATACCATGTTTGGTGCTAAATACGAGCGGAGCACAAACTCAGCAATTGTGCCGTAAAATTAAGAGTTTAGGCTGCTCTTTCACACTATTTTAAAGCTTTTTTTCTAGATTTTGAAGCAGTTCGAGCTATACTTTTACTGAGATCTCAAAATTTCAATAATACCATGTTTGGTGCTAAATACGAGCGGAGCACAAACTCAGCAATTGTGCCGTAAAATTAAGAGTTAAGGCTGCTGTTTCACGCTATTTAAAGCTTTTTTCTTGATTTTGAAGCAGTACGAGCTATACTTTTACTGAGATCTCAATATTTCAATACTTCCAGGGGTGTGGGGTAAAAAAAAATGATTCAAAAAAAGTTAGCTAGAAATGATTCAAATGGTCTGTACAAGATTTTTAGATGGTTGCTAAAAAACATTTTTTTTTCTGTCACGACTTCGTCGCAAGGGTGTGCCAGGGTTCCAGCCTCCAGGGGTGAGGGGTAGAAAAAAATTTGTCAAAAAATGTAGCTAGAAATGATCTAAATGATCTGTCCGAGATTTTTAGCCAAAAACCATTTTTTTTCTTTTGGAGCTCAAATTTAAAAAAAAAATAGACTTTTCAGCTATTTTAGTCGGTTTTAGTCTGTTTTTAGTCGTAATATTCGATTTTTGTCCATTTAGTCGATTTTAGTAGATTTTGACCCTAGCTTAATCGACTCGAAATTTCATGATTCGTGCTCATTTCATAACCCTAACATCCTGCGAAGATCAGAAAAAATTGTTGATCGACTAAAACGCTCAGCCCTAACTATTACATTGCCAATTCAGCTTCAGGTGTTTATAACAATGAGAGCCAGTTTTGTTAATAATGTAAAAAAAAATTAGAAATTTCAACTACGTATGTCGTTAATACTTAATTGGAATAAGTTAATATGGAGTAATATAATATTTCCATTCAGTTAACTTAAAAATGAGATACAATAAATTTTAAAGTTATCAATAATCTAATTATTATACTTAATATAATGCATTTTAATACTTTGATCATTTAATTCTTACATATCCGAATGAAAGGAAAAGAAAGTAGAATTTCTAGTACAAATCGAGCCAGCTGACGGATTAGGGTAGTAGCGTGGGGCGGTGCACGCTAGCGAGGGCGCGTTTATCGATGTTTATCGAGCTGCGGTGCCCACGTTGGCTGGTGGGGTGGGTGGCGGGCTGCGTAGAGCGGCAGTGAGTTGAGAGGCGAGGCCCGAGTCAGTCCCCGTCGGTGTTCGAGTCGGAACCAGAATCTCGCGCGCGGCGATCGACGCGCCTGCCTCGCGAGGAACATGTGTCCGCAGTGACCGATGCTGTCCGATGGGGCGTCCCGCGACTCGGACACCTTGGCCGCTGCTGCTGCTGCTGCTCGTGCACGCCACGGGGGGCAGCGAGTTCCCTGAACGCGAGTGTTGTGACCCCGTGTACCCTCTGGCCGCGCCACCCTCGTCCACCACCCCCTACCCCTCTGTGCCAACGGCCACCGGACGCGCTGGTGAGTAAAAACTAACCACAAAAAACACTGTTTTTAAATCCATTTTTTTATTTTTTATTCTGGAATATGACTTAATTCAAAAGCCGGTTGGAAAATAGCAACCTTCAGTTTAAAACTGCTTTTCCCGCCAAATTCATTTAAATCCCTGGATTGCTTAATCACTAATTTGTGTTGAAAATAAGTCATTTTTAGGTATTTCCAAATGGAGACGGGGGAAATTTGTTCACCTGAATTTGAAAGATGGCCAAATTTTGTGACCACTTTTGAAATTGCACGCCTAAATTTCTTATCAGGAGTTCATTGGAGGTTGAATTTTAAATTTTTCCCACTAAACAAATTTGAACCGAAAGGAAAGTTTTTCCCAATTGAACAATCCATATAATTATAAAATAAGGTTAACAAATCCAATATTACAGTTTAAAATCCGCTCAGAGGCTCAAATAATTTTGGCGCGTAAACATGATTCCAGGTTTAAATCCTTGAGGTAAGGAATTGCTTAGTTGCAATTTTGATGTTGCTTATGAAAGTGGGCCTTCTTTCATTTTCAGGAATAATTTATTTTTCCCCAAAGTTCCTCTGATTTAAATATACATCTTGTAATTATTATTGTCAAAGTTCAAATGATTTTAGCTTGAAAAGACGAATCACCTATTTTTACTCTTAGAATTGCGATTTTGGAAAATAAATTATAAATTTTATCACTTTCCAAAATCAAATATATTGTGAAAAAAGATGACCGGTGTAGGTTTTTATTTGAGATTTCAGTGTAATTTCTTTCCGTTGAAGTGGGTAATGGTTGTCATCCCGTCGCAGCAACGTATACAAATTGCACTTGCCAAGTTTGTTTTGCGAACTTACACCGGTCCGTCGACTTTCCTGCAGATTGTCATCAAACTTTCTTTTTTTCGGCTTCAATGGTTCGCTAGCAGGCGAGAACAAACTTTATTTTTTTACTTTTGCAGAACAACGCTTTTAAATGGGCATGATTTCGTCTGGGTAGAATCTGCAAATTCGGTGGCTCGCTTAAGGTGTTGAAAACTAAATTGATGGAAACAAAAACTTACCAAAATTTGTTACTGTGAATAAGTACAGGTTCTTCTGTGTTTCAGTAATTTTTTTGAAGAAAAGAACCATATAAAATAACGACAAATCCTAAAAGTCTAATAATTTTATAGTTATTTATGGATTTGTTAATTTTATTTAACAATAAATACGATAATGCTAAAATCTGTTTGAAATTAGGCATCCAATCAACTGCAAATAAAAATTTAAAAAAATTGCAGTTTTAAATCCAACAGAAATCAAAATTAAAATTCAATTATTTTAGATTTTCATAGGGAATTTTATCCAATTTAAGGCAAATTTTTTTTGTTGCCAACTAACATTGAAGGCAAATTTAAAACTCTTTGTCTGCGGACCCAAGAATAGAACTTCTCTCTCTGAATCTTGACACGTTTCTCGCTCTGTGTTTAGTCGGTAATGAGGGCCTTTTGAGCCAGGATTTGCACCTTTTGTACATTTGCTGCAAACAATAAATGTCGTCGAGTGAGCAGCGTCTGATCCAATTACCGCTGTTGCCACTTTTCCCCGCAAAGACAATTTTCTGAAGCCCCGCCGAGCTTTTCCTCTTTTTTTTCTCGCCAGCTCAGGTGCACTCGAGTTTCGACTTTGGAGAACCCTTCAACTTCTCTCGCGGCAGAAATGATCGGAAAAGTTTTGCATTTCGACAAACTAATCAGCGAAAACTTTCACCCGAATTTGCCAACGCCGAACGTGCCGCTCCAACCAAGAGCAACTAGTCTTATTTACTTTTTCGCTCCTTCCTTAAGTAGGAAGGTTTGGAGAGAGTTTATTGGAAAATTCCGTGCCGACCAAGAAAGAAATCTTGATAGGAAATTTAAACCTGTTACATAATTTATTCAATATTTTGAATTTTATTTCAAAAGCACTTATTGTGTTGATTTAAAATTCGGTAGATTTAAATTATTCAGTAAATTAAAAATTTAATTTGTTGCAACTTGTATCATTCTGATTCAAAATACGAAACTTAATTAAATAGTAAATCTTAGAAAACTGGGATTAAATTCTTCAGAATTTAAGCTGTTTCACAAAATTTGCTACAGAGACAAAAGTTAATAAAAAAAAATTAATTATTAGTTTTTTTATTCAGCTTATATAAGATAACCCTTTCATTAATGCAGTTTGATAATTAGTCTGGCTGGCATATTCATAAATGTCTAGCAGCATTTTCCTGAATTGCAAATTTTCTCCCAACGTAATTTTCCCTTGGCAGTTTCCGTTAGTCGCTCTCTCATTACAAAAAATGGCACTTTTTTGCGATCGCAATAATAAAAGCTAAACGTCATAAACATAAAGAGCGCTGCCATGGTATGCAAATGCACGCCAACGAGTATGCATTTCATGTAAAGAGTAGAAATAAATTCGAGCTCGGAGCAAGCGATTGTGTAATATTTATGTTAATCCTTATAAATACACCGATCCATCTCGCTGCAGCACGCAAAAATAATAAACAACCCACGTGTCAGCGCATGATTAATTACCCTGGCTGCAATCAGGACATTTTCAGTCTGAATTTAACTAAAAATAAAATTATGATAGCGGACTAAAATAACCAAAGATACAATTTTTTTAATAATTAATAATTACGTCTGGTTTTTATTGAACATTAAAGTTGATATGATAAAAAAGACCAGCCTGAGTGTTGGTCAAGATCAAAGAAGAGACATCAGACAGACATCAGCAAATTAAACAGTAATGAGGGAATAGATCTTTAGATCGTTAAAAATAAAAATTGATTTCTCGTTCTACAACTTTTATTATTAATAATAAGCTTCTGAAGTTTTTTGGCACGGATTTATTTAGATAAATAATCTTTTTGTAAAGAAAAACAATAAAAAAGATGACTAATTGTGTTAATAAAATGAATTGAGTTGCTGTTCACCGAAAAAATTTACAGAGCACATTCAATCCACTCCTTTTTTTCTTAGAATTGTCGCAACACTTTTTTATCCCCACGCTTGCGAAAAGTTTCGATATCAGAATCAAAGAAAACTCCATCTTGAAGCGAAACAAATTAAACGCGAGTATGTATTCGTTCGAGCACAAGACGAAACTTTTCCAATAGTCACAGTATAATGGGGCGAACGAATAATATCACAATAAAAGCGATCCATGCAAAAGCTCTGAGAAATTTGCACATCTGCCGCGCCCGATCGCGGCCCATAAAAATCGCTCTATCGCTGCGAACTTGAAGAAATAAAGAAAAGTCTTTTTGAAATAAACAAACGGGGTCACTCGATGCTCTCCTTCGCGAATCGACTCCTCGATTTTTTGCTGCACTGCACCGGTCTTTCGCCAGTTCTCATCAAGGACGTGGCTTTTGGCCAAATGTGGGCAAAGTTGCCGCCGGAATTGGCCAAATCCACTAAATTCCAGTCCGCTTAAATGGGCCAACAAGTTATTTAATGCTTTTAGGGTTGTTCAAAAGTGAAGATTTTTTTAAAAAAAAAATAGACTGGATAAAAACGCGGCCTTTTTTGGTTCAAAAATTATTTTTAATTATAAAATTCTATACCAGGATATAATTTTCAAAAATTTAATTATTATAATAATTAGTAAGCAATTTTTTATTCAAAAAGACTATAATATTAAAAATTAATTCAATAAATAGACTTTTTCAAATAAATTCCGGTAAATTCATTCATCCTTTTGTATTTTGCAAATTACAAATGAATTATTGTTTTGAACATATATCAAAGTAATTTAATTTAATTATAAATTTTCAAGGGTTCTCTAAAATTATGTAAAGCATTTCAATTTTCCCATTCAATGTGAGTAATTGGCTGTTGCTTTTCTACATTGTTCATTAATTTAACAATTTCATTTTGTTTGGTTTAGTCGTTCAAATTGAATTGCGAGTTGAAATGATTGCGATGATTCTAATCGATGCATTGTGTCATCATTACGGCGGCACTCGGGGTGAGTGGGGCGCTGTTATGAATATCGACCATGGAACGCGCAGGCGAGTAAAATGCACGGCGTGTAATTCACATTAGACGCCAAAAGAAGGTGTGTGATCGATTTTCCGCGGCTCTCTCGTGACGCTCGGAATAAAAGCCGCCGTTTTTAACGACCAACCCCCCCACCGGCCGGCGAAATGTCATTCAGCAAAAAGAGAATCTCATTAAAATTGCACGAGAACGCGGCCGCAAACAAACCGAAAATTCATTTGCAAGTAGAAAACTTTTGATCTGTGAAAAGAACAAAGGCGTCTTTTAAGAAGAAAATCTGCGGTCAATTGTCGGAGAGATTAATTTTTCTTTTCGCTCGCTCCGAAAGCACCCCTTGAGCTGGAATCAATTAGGCGTAATTGAGTGAAATTAAATTGAATTCGCCCGAGAGTTGAGTGCCGCAGTTTGCGTCGCATTCCGACAAACAGCGGCAGTGCTTGACCTCTTGCGAGTGAAGCAACTCCTGCCCGATGCATCAACTTGATGGATGGATGTGATTCATTATTGAATTAATTGAATCATCGGAGAAGTACATCATTTCCGCGTATCTCTCGGATGAGGAAAAACGGCTCATATGTTTCTCGGAACAAATTTTCAAAAGTTCTTCAATTCATATTTAATAATGTATCATGGTTTAAATGGAAAGCTTTATAATTTATTGGAAAATTAATTCCACTTTTGATATCCTAGAGGGAAATTTAAATTTAATTTAAATGGTTTTAAGAATATTTTTTGAATCATAATTATTTTTCAAATTTTTAAAGTACATATGAATTGATCATTTTAACCAATTCCATTTTACAATTAGTTGATTTAGCAGCAAAACATGAAATTAAGCAGTCTCACAGTTAATGGAAAGATAATTTATCTATGTAAATGGAATAAGAAGCAGAAATTCTTGCGACAAAAGTATATGTTTGTTTGAGAAACAATCCACTCTGTCTCTATTTCCATTGCTCAAACACGCAT